TTATACTAAAATTTACTATTAGCGATAATTATTTATTAGAAAAAATTTAAGTCCCACATCGATTAGAGATAAGATAATTAAATAGTATATAAGTGAGTAATAACTATCACCTTACAGATTCATTTTATAGGATTGACTCCTAATTTACTATTCTAAATTGATATCAAATCATCCATTATTACCAAGTTCAATAGTGCTATAAAACAATTAGAGAACAACTTTCACCTTATAAATCTCACATCTCTTAAGAGTCAAGAAAATTAAAAAAATAAATTAAAAAATATGTAAATAAAAGACAACTCTTACCTTACAAATCTCACATCGAGTAGAGATAAAAAAAGTATATAAGTTATGAATTTAGAAAATGAAATTATAGAAATAATTTATTTAAAGTAAAGGAGACAATTGAAAAAAATAACTTTTAATAGCCTTTAAAATAAGTAAAAGAATTATCACTAAAAAAAATAAGTTTTTTTGACAATTTAGTATATCTTTACCAACATTTTATATAAATGCTGGTAATAATATTAGCGACACTGGATACACCAACCATTATTTAAATGCTAGTAAAAAAATAATAACCATTTATATAACTACTAAATAATAAATTAATTGTCACAAAAAACTAATTTTAGTATAGTGATGGTTTCATCAATACTTTTCCTTGTATCCTCACATGTAATAACGTATAGTAATTCAAGATTTAATGTACGTGTCTATATATGGCTTAATAAATAGGTGTAACTCTTTTTTACTAAGTAATTAATTTTTATAGAAATAAAATGATATCTTTTAATATGTTTAAGATGAAGATCGAATCTCAATTTTTATTAAGAAACATAATTGTTGAATCACTGAATTTTTGGTAATTTAATGTATGTTTAATTAATAGTTGAATATATAATAATTAAATATTTTTTTATATAACATATTAAAAAATATTTTTAGAATCTTATAATATTAAAATTTGAGCTTTACTTATAAATGTCATCATAGCTTGTAAGCTATAATATTAAAATTGAAAAATGAAATTAAATCAAATATATCGTATCATTTTAAATTTAACGTACTGTATAATAATATTCAATTTAAATCAATTAATCAAAATAAATTACACTTCTCTCTCTAGTAATTTATAAGTGTACAATGTCTTCATTTTTTTTATGACAGATATAAATATTACATTATTTTTTATCTTATATTAAAATATATATTTTGTTTATTTAACTCGAACACTACTAAAAAAAATCAATAACATATATACTAAAGCATTTTAAAATTATGAAGTTACCTTTCACTTTTTCATTGTTCCAATATTGCATTTTGTCCATGCATCAACGATGTTTCTTTTCGTATGCAAACACTTTTGCAGTCAAAAAAACATATAACCAAAGTTATTTTTAGTAAATTTACCTAAATTTACTCCACTCAATAATTCATATTTTATATTAAATTTTAACAATTTAACTGTTAAATTTAAAGTTTTTAATTCATAAATTAAGTCAATAAATTTTTAGAAAATTTAGAAATTATTTAATACTTCATTTCATTAATTCAAATTGATGGATAATCATAAAATCATTTTATACATTGATTTGAATTAATGAAATGAAGTATCAAATGATTTTTAAAATTTTTTAAAATTTACAGATTTGATCTATACATTAAGAATTTTAAATTTCATAGTTAGATCGTTGAAATTTGATGCAGAACATGAGTTATTGAATGAAATAAGTTTAGGTAAACCTACTCCTTGAGTAAATAGATCCCTCCTTTGATATATATATATATATACAAACTAAATAACTATAATTAAAAAATACACTATCGTATGATATATATATATGAGGAGGGTTCAAACGACACCGGTGTAACTTTTACTAAGTGTTACACCGCTCAATAACTTTATATTAAAAGTGAATTTTGTAAATCCAACCGTTAGATTGAAAGTTCATATCTCTTAGATCATATGTGTCAAATTTTATATTAATCTAAAATGATTTGATACTTCATTTTCATAAAACAAAATTGACGTAATATATACATTTCAAAATATACTAAAATATGAACACTTTGATTACCTTCAAGTTGTTGTTCAATTTTAACAAAATTTGACATATATGATCTAAGAGATATGAACTTTCAATCAAACGGTTAGATTTACAAAATTCACATTTAATATAAAGTTATTGAGTGGTGTAACACTTAATAAAAGTTACACTGGTGTCGTTTGAAAATGAAAAAATAATTTATGATAAAAAAATATACAGTAAAAATTAAACAATCTAGCAACGTATGTTATGGGGGAAAAATGCACAGATATATTAATAAATGATTTTCTGGTCGAAAAATTCTTTGATATAAATTATTAGTTGTTTTATACAATATATAAAAGTGGTGAAAAGTGTAATGACTATTTTCTATTAAAATATATAATTGTATATTTAAAAAATTATAAAATTTAAAAGTGTAATATTTAAATATATGAAATAAGGGATTATAAAGAATATTTTAGTTGTAACTTTTTTTTTATAAAATTGTAAAATTAGAGTATGCCGTAATATATTTGCATATATAAGGGAGAATAAAAATATATTTTTTAACATAAGAAGGAAACATAGTTTTTTTTAAAAATTCAAGAAGGAAACATAGTTTAATACTTGTATTCTAAAAAATTATGATAGGGTAGAAGAAATTTTGGTAATGATATTTTTTAGGAGAGAAAATAGATTTTTCCCTATTGATTGACAAATACAATTCAAACTTTTAATGAATTGGTTATAAATACAACATTAAAAGTGTGCTGATTTGATGTGTTGATATATTGATCAATTAGATTAAATTGGATCAACTATTTTCGAAAAATATTTAAAATAGGTCATATTAGACTAAAAAGATAAATCCAAAATATAGTGTCTATGTAATCCAATATTTTTTTTAATCTTTTTAGATTACATGTAAAAATATTAAAAAAAAAAAAATGTGACTTTATTTGACCCAACCTAACGTACCAACTTGCTGGATCCAAAAAATATAAAAATAATAAAACATAGCATATATAAAAGTTGGTTAGATCATACTCGATAGTTCAACAACTCTAGTTATAATTAGTTTTGATTTGTGATTGATTCCTCGCAAAACCAAAATTGAGAACTCACTGAATTAATCTAGTGTAATGACATACTCTCAATTGAATTAGAGAGAAAAGGATATGCACCACTCTTAAGTATAATTTTTTTTTTCATCAATTTATTAAGTAAAGTAAGTTTATTAACTTTGTTATAATCATCTTTAAAACTCACACTAAAATTAATTTTTAATTGACCGAGAATGTAAAGACTTTTAAACTAATTGGGCATATGCATTCAACTCGTTGAATTAATATATAATCGATTTGATTAAGTTTTGAAATCGATGTTGCACTGTACCAAACCAAATCTGAAGAACGATTAATTGATGTTATAATGAACGCAACGCCTACAAGTTGCTTGGTTATGTTAGGTTTTTTTTAATTGGATTTGAGATGTCTAGCAGGAGAGGGAAAATCTTATTATGTTTCAGATATTCTTGTAGTGATCATCCTTGTTCTCATAATCATAATTTAGCTGTGATAAAGTAAAATCTATCAGATAAAGTACAATCAGTTAATTATCTTTTGTATGGATTACGTTGGATTTTGTTTAGGTGATTTTGTATTTTGTAACAGGTTGGGTACCCTTGTACTCCCATTAATTTATTTTGCTTATCAAAAAGAAAAAAATGTTATGGGGTTGTTTTTATTTTTTCTCTGTAATGGTTAGTAAGAAGTGCCACTTAGGAAAATCCAGATTCAGGCAGAAATTCATTTTAACATAAACAAATGTTGTCTCAACTCTGCTTAACCAAATCAATGACTAATCTTAGGAAGCATATTCAATTCTTTTCTTTTCTTTTTTTTAACACAAGAAACAAACCTCAAAATCAAGCAAAGAACAGACATCAGATTATTCGAAACACAGAATAAAAATATGGCATTTAACATCAAAATAATTTTCGTTCATTCTTGGAGTAGGAGGTGGTTGTCAACACAGGCTGAAGTATACTGAAAACTATAGTGCTGCTTCCTAGTTCACTGATTTTGTTCAATTGGAAATAGAAAGGACATCTTTCATACTTTCATTTGAAAACCAAAATCTCTTTCTTGCACACAGGACCAAGGTTTGCAATAATGGAGAACAAGTAACTACTGAAGAAATTAACAAGGTCCTCTGTTAGTTTCATAACTACGAGACACAATTCTTTTCCATCTCCAAGCTGCTGCATAGTCAAATTAAAATGCACCATGCCTACTATCACATTAATAAGCTCCAATGATGCTGATTTTTTTTTTTAATTTTTTAATTAAGTCTCTAAATTAAAAAAAATTTATAATTGGATTCTTTATCTTTTATATTTTTATGTTTTTTATAATTTAGTTTGTTTATCATCTATGAAACTTGACAAAATATTCTTTATAAGATATAAAAAGATGAAGTATTCAATTATAAATATTTTTAGTTCGGAGACCTGATTAAATTTTTTATAAAAAATTAAGTATCAAATGATGTATTATACATGTTAATCATCATGTGTTGATTAAAAAAATTTCAGACATGAGAGGAAGCAACCACAAACAGCACAAAGGGAGGCAAGTGGAAACCGAAACGCTGCAAAGTGGAAGCCCTATAAAAAATGGGCTTGGCCCATAAAAAGTCCGAAAGCCCAATATGGAATCATGAGCCGAGGAATACGGTGTTGATGACACGTGTCAAGTGTCGCTTTCTCTCTCCTCTTAATCCCTTTGGTTTTGTAAATTGAAACGTTAAAAGTGTGAAAGATAAGCCTCTGATGAGAGAGAGAGAGAGAACCGTTGGGTACACGTGACAAACAAGCCATAAAATTAAATTAAATTAAAACTTAGCACAGTGGTTTTTTTAAATTAAAAAAAAAAAGATGATGGGCTAAGAAAGAGCGTTGGATCCGGTAGCTTTATCCAAAATTGTAGGTGAATTACATTTGGGAGTAATTTGCCGTGCATTTGGGTTGCATTTTGATTTGCGTGTGTTTCGTCAACCCCACAAGTGTTAAGTCAGCAGCAATAGCATGAGCATTCAGCGCCAAATTTCTATAAATACCCCACTCCTTCCGCTTCTCTCGTTTAATTTAACGTTCTTAGCGTAGGTTCTTGGGTGAGAGTTATAGAGAGAGAAGAGCGAGTCCTTCTTTGTTTTTTTGTTGCTTTCTCTTTTCCTTTTTGTAGGTACTGACGAGGACCGATACTTTATCCCTGTGCTTCACTTAGCTTCATAGCGTGTGAGTTTATTTTAATTCCTCTTTTAATTATTATTATGATTTATGGATTATTTTTCCTTATATTTGAGTTTTCTGGAAAGATACGTTCATGTATGCCTTTCTGGAACGGAAAATATCACTCAGAATTTTGTTGTTTGATTGTTGACAGAGCGCGTGTTAGTTGTCGTCTTATCTGTTGATATAGATCTGTAGCATGTGACTGTTTGTTTCGGCCAAGAACTAGAATACGCGCCGTTTGTCAAAGGATGAATATAATTTTGTTCAGTTTTTATGAATTGAATTCTAGATTTGCGTTATGTGATATGTAATTGGTTGGTCAACGGGAATTATCTCCTGTTCTGTGAGGCGTTTTGGGTTAATAAATGTTTGGGGCGTTTTAAAGGGGAATAGGATACGGGTTTAATGTGTCAGTGTAAAATGTTTTACGCTGTTGACCGATTAGATAAGGACGGTTAGTTAATGGTTATAGAGCGTGTGAGTTCTTATATATCTTTCCAGTTTCCAGATAGCAGATAAATTTTGATGAGTTTGACTGAAATGTGTGTTGTTGTTGTGGTGGGCCATGCAGACAATTCAGGCAAAGGCCTTGAAGTTGGAGTGTGTTAAGATTGATTACTTAGGAGTTGCTGACTTGACTGGAGGAATGGAGGTATATGGCAAATCTATGGTTGCTGGTCCTGCAAATGTTATTTTTCTGTCGAGTATTTTGGGCCGAGATGGTCCCTTTCCTGGTCACAAATGCGACTGGAAATGTCAAAATGAACATGTTTGTGGAAACATGTATCGCTGCAAGCTAACTGGGCTCACTCACATCTGTGATAAAAACTGTAACCAGAGAATTCTCTATGACAACCATAGCTCCCTTTGCCGAGCTAGTGGTCAAATTTTTCCCTTTTCACCGGCAGAGGAACAGGCTGTGAGAGGTGCTCGAAGAAAGCTTGATGCAGAGAGTTCGCCATCTGAAAGCTGTGGTTTTAAGCGTAGACGGGGTAATGGGGATGTCCAACTCCATCCGTCTCCTTTTGAGAGGTCTTTCTCTGCTGTCAGTCCTATCTGCAGCCAAGTTGGAGATGGCATGGATATGAGCTAGATATATATTATATAACTGGAAAAACTCTTTTATCATTTCCCTTGTCCTTTTCCCTCTTTTCCCTTATGAATAACAGAACTTGGACAATTATGGATTACTTATCTGGTGGACATGTATGTTCATCTATTGTAGGAACTCCTTATATTTCTAGTATTAATGTAATGTAGTTGACTGTTGAATGGGGATTTGAGCAGGCTCTATTTAGTATTCAGATGGTTATGAAATCTAAATTGATTTCAATTTCTTGCTAACCTTGGTGAGAAGTGGACTGTTATATATGAATGTTAACCTTTTCTAGCTGTTTGTTAAGTTTCTAGTGTTTCTGTTATCGCAGGGCAGTGCTATGAGAGTATTAGACATTAGTGTACCCATTATCAGGACTACTGCTATTGAGTTGTATTATCGTACTCCTCTTATTTCCCTCAGTTCCATTAGAAAAGCATATGATTGCTGATAACCCTATTCAGGGTTATGTTGATTTCCTTAACTTTTGTAAGCTCAGGTCCTCTCCAGTTCCTCACATGGACAAATTTGTTGTGCACGTGAAAACTAATTTTATTTTGTTGCCTAATTTCTTTGTTCTTTTGCAGACTCAACAGAGATGATTGTTCCCATTTTCATTATTTATCTTTTTATTATCTTATTTATTTCATGAGTTGACTGATGGCTGCCTCTCTTGAGTTTAATGTAATTTGTGCAGGATTTGAAGCATGTGCTACCAAGGAGCATTCAAAACATTTTTGTTGAAATACTAAATAACATATTTTTATATGGAATTGCTCTATGCTAGAAGATGATATATTGATACTTGTATTGTTTTCTTGCAGGTACAAGCTTAGTTACTTATTCTCAAATTTACCTCTGCTGAAGTTTAGACAACAATTATTGGGCTGTTGAGTGTCATGAGAACTGAGCAGCTGGTCCAGCAGGATGCAACAGTTGATTGAGGAAGGGATAGATATGATGTTCTCAACCAGTTTTGTTGAATGATCAAGATTCAAGACACTATGGAAAATTGAAAAGTTTTCTTATTCAATTTCAATCTAGTTTGAATTTTGAAGAAGACCGGATGAGTTTGTCTTTCTTCCACTGTATCATCTCTTAACTGCAGACAGTGGCATTTATTGAACAGATTAAAGTGTCCTGTCCTGGGATACCTACAATAATCAGCACCTTCTATCAGTTTAACTATAATCTGCCTAGATTTCCCTCTTTATTGGAAGATTGAAAGTGATTTTCCCCTTATTTGAATTGCGAATGTAAAAGTCTCCTCAGCCTTGATGTCTTTTGCCGGTGCTTTGCTTTGATATTCTGGACAGATGTAAGTTTGTTTCTTGATATTAAATGCCAGAGCTATGTAAGTATAACTCATGTTTTTATTCTGACATTTTGTATCACTTTATAGTTCATTAATGAAATTCAGAATAGAAGTTTTATGTAGTTATTCAGAGCTTGGTTCATGTTTGCTTTTGAATTTTCCCTTAAAGCACTTTTATAACACTTTTTTTATTTTTTTTTTTTGAAATCTATGCGAGCCTCTCCTGAAAAGGAAAACTAGTGAAAAATAAAGAAAATTCTAAGGTCCTGGTATGGAATTCTTAGATCGGGCTCTTCATATGTAAACTCTCGTTTTAAATAAAGTGAGCCTCTTCATATGTAAACTCTCGTTTTAAAATAAAGTGAGCGATTTTACTAGTTGTTTATGATAAAATACACTATTATGTATACCATAATAAAGTATGAATTTACTAGGATTTATTTTGATATATTCATAATTAGTTTCTAAGTAACTGTGGGAGATATATGTACATACAACAACAACAACAAAAAAAGTTGTCTTCACATTTCTCTGTGAAGTGTTCTTTTCACTTCATATCATCAAAATTTATGAGGAAAGGTTTCACCGCTTGGTAGTTAGATTATGGTTGGAAGCTGATTTTATCCTGTGGTGTGGATTTCGTGGTAACTAACTGGTTATCCATGTTTCATCACTGTCCTCCAATTCTTCTTCCAAATTCGAGAATTCTTGCAGAAGCCTTAATTGGCAGTGGCAGGTGAACTCGTGTTTATAGTGATGAAAGCAATGTGGTACCTGATTGGTTGGCAAATCATTTCCATTTTGGCATTTCCTTTCTCTAGTGATTTGACTTTTTATGAAGTGTAAGAAGCACTTTAAATGATAAATTAACCAGCCATTCATTAAAATAAATTACTATTAAAAATATATGCACTATATAACTAATTATGATATTATTAAAAACTATAACTAATTTTTCTAATTTACAGCTATTACTTTATTCTTGGTGCAATGTCCACTTTAAAAGAGTTATATATCAAAGGGTTTTAACAAGATACAACACAGTTTAGTTTCTGTATGTTAAAAAAAAAAAAAAAAGGAAGAGCCTGACTGAGGCATTGTTATTAATGTGGAATTGTTTTTAATGCAATTTTTTAAATATAAAAATAAGGTTAGTAATTAGTTTAATAAACTAAAGTTGATAGTTTAAGTGGTTTAGTACTTAACCTTTTTAATAAGGGTTAGAGTTTGATTCCGATCACATGAAATCGTGATTGAAAGTATTATTTTATTCTTATATAAAATGATATGTTGAAAATGAATTATACCTCTTTATCAAATAAAATATTTTAATATATCACTTTTGATGTTATTTTTATATTTTAATTTATTAATTTTGACTGCTTGTAAAATTTTTATTTTTTAATATCACAAGAAAGAATTTGGATCCTATCCTGCAATCTTCTCTTTTCAGTCTCTCTCCAGCAATACTAATAACTATTGGATATATTTAATAGCTCAAATTTAATCTTATAAAAATTATTTAAGAAATTACATTAATTATAAGATTAAATTTGAGCCATTAGATATATCCAATGATTATTAGTGTTGCTGGAGAGAGGCTGGAGAGAGAAGATTGCAAGAAAGGATCCAAATTCCACAAGAAATGATAAATTATATTAAAAATAAATTGTAAGCATCTAAGTAAATTATATTCTTAAAGATAATTTTTTTAAAAGTATTTTAGCAAATTTAGAAGAGCAATATGATAAACCATAAAAATTATTGTTCATAAGATATTAAAAATGAAAGTAAATGATACATAATTTACCTTATTTCTACTAGGGAATAAACACATTTTTAAGTAATTGTGTTATAGTTACAAAGTATGTATTTTGGCGATGATTAAACTATCTCAAAATATTTTTAGAAGAATCTCTTTTTTTATACATTTTTCTTTTTATTTACAAAACTTAAATTTGAGCTTTTATTTAACATGATCGAGTATAGTTTCACTCGAACCAATGATTTAATAAGAAAAGGACATTTCATATTTTTATATATTAAAAATAAAAATAAAATAAAAGATATAAAATGCATATACTAAAACTTTATACTTTTTAATAGGGGATTAATAATTATAATGTCAGTCATCTAAGAGTAATTACAGGAATAAAAAAACTAAAAAAATGTGTACACTAAAAATTTATACCTTTTTAATATAGATAAAATAATAAATACATTACTTAATTAAATTATATAAAAAAAAGATAATTATTATTTGAATTTAAAACATTTTTTTATATCTTTATTTGCTTGATTTATATTTTAATTGTTTGTCGTAACAAGTAACAATAGTAAACCAATTAATAGTGAGGACTTAAAAAATAATAATAAAAAAAATAATCTAAAAGTAATAAAAAAAATCAAGAACTAAACTAACAGTCAGAAGGAATAATTTTATATTCAATATTTTATTTTTCAAAATATTATATGTTAAGTTAAATTTGGATTAAATTGCATTTTTCATTCTTCTATAATATCAAATTCATAATTTCAGTCATCTAATTTTTATTTTTGTAATTTTAGTTTTTAATTTTATAAAATTCATAAACTTAATTCTTTTCTTGCATATTCTCATTGATCATTAAAATTGTAACGTTTGTCATGACCTAACATATAATATTTGACAAAATAATTATTATTTAATAATATTTAAATTAAATTACACTTTTAATTCTCATTTTCATTCTATTTTCATCTTATTTTATCGCTTCTCATTTAATTTAGATATTATTAAATATTAATTATTATATCATGTACTTAATCTCTAGTCACAATAAAAGTTATAATTTTAATTATTAATAGATGAACATATTTTAAGGTGATTAAATTTACAGATTTTACAAAATAAAAAATTAAAATTACAAAAATAAAAATAAAATGAGTAAAATTATAAATTTAATATTATAAAGGAATAAAAAGTGTGATTTAGCCTTAAATTTATATATAACAATATGTCTCTTGGGACGTTTTGGGCAATTTCATCTGTGAAAAGTGAAAAGTTATGCTTTTGGTTCCTCGTAAGTTCACACTTCACGTGACATGCCAATGATCCGATGCTCCCTGCTCGGTCTATATGTTTCCATCGAACGCCTAGTTCATATAGGAGGAATCCTGTGTCCTCTTTTTACGATAATCATAATCCTATGCAACTTCTTACATGGTACAATCTAATATTTTCTGATACGATTCTTTGAAGAAATTAATGATTTCTCCGGTCAGGAGGTCACAAAGAATTCGAGATTTGTACAACTACCCCATGCAACAGCAAAAGCAAAGAATTGCTTCTAAATGAGGCCTTCCACTATAAAAGAAATACTAAACCCATAAAGCTGGTCTTGTGGCTGAGGATTTCATGAAAGCAACGTAACTGCTTGTCTGATGTAATGCATAACTGATTTAGCACACAACTACCTCCTTCAGAATAGTATAAATTACAAATCTTAGGGACATTGTCCATTCCCTTGGCCATCAAATTCAACCCCTCTTTAGTTTAAGGCTTAACATACGTTATCAACTATAATCCTTAAAATGCTAACAAAGCCATTCAGGAAGGTCACCAGTTTGCTCATTCTCTTTACATTCTTCTCTTGCTGTTTCTCTAACACATTCAACATAATCAACAACTGCCCACATACTATATGGCCTGGCACACTTGCGGGTTCAGGGAGTCCTCCCCTCGCAACAACCGGATTCCAGTTGGACATGGGCCAAAGCATCAAGCTGACAACTGTTCCAGGATGGTCAGGAAGGATATGGGCAAGGACTGGTTGCAAATTTGATGCAACAGGAGTTGGCAAATGTCAAACAGGTGACTGTGGGGGAAGGCTGGAATGTGATGGAAATGGTGCTGCTCCTCCAACCTCACTGTTTGAGATCACATTTGGTGCAGGCAATGGACAAGACTACTATGATATCAGCATGGTTGATGGCTACAATTTGCCATTACTCGCTCTACCACGAGGTGTATATGGCGGTGCCTGTAATGCCACAGGTTGTATTACTGATATTAACAGAGGTAAGAGTTTATGTAAAGAAAAACTGTATCAAAAGTAATTAGGTATTTAAATGACATAAGAATCACAAGAGTACCTCATATACAATAAAAAAAATGCAATGGTATAGGTTGCCCTAAAGAACTTCAAGTAGTAGGAGGCGATCAAAACCAAAGTTTATGTAAAGTAAAACTGTATCAAAAGTAATTAGGTATTTAAATGACATAAGAATCACAAGAGTACCTCATATACAATAAAAAAAATGCAATGGTATAGGTTGCCCTAAAGAACTTCAAGTAGTAGGAGGCGATCAAAACCAAAGGGTAGTCGGGTGTAGGAGTGCTTGCGAGGCATTCAAGTTGGACAAGTATTGCTGCAGTGGAGAATTTGCAAATCCAAATACTTGTCAGCCTTCCTATTATTCAACCATTTTCAAGAAGGCTTGTCCAAGAGCTTATAGCTACGCATTTGACGATGGCACCAGCACTTTCACTTGCAAAGGGTACCAATATGATATTGTTTTCTGTCCCAACAGCAATGGGTATACTTTACATCATCTCACATAATTTTGATTAATTTCCTTTCCCTTTCAATTTATTGACGTACTTCCAAGAAAATAGAAAAGACTGACTGACATTTTACATTACATTTACAACACAGGATGAGAAGACCAAATCTTGCACCTCCTCCTCCGCCAATTAGACAACCTTATCGAAAGCATCAGCAGGTCACTTCCTCATCAAATATTTTATTACCCTTTCCAGTGACAATTTTTCTCTTGGTTCTCAGTCTTTCTTGGCATTTGTAAGGCACGGCCAATGATATAAAATAACATCTGGAAGAATTCCACAAGTTAGGGCTTTTGAAAGGAGGGGAGAAGAAAAAAAGGCCCGATCAATGAGATGGAAATGAACCATGAAAATATTACACTTGAAGACCATCTCTGCAAACAAATGATTCAGAAAGTACTGTTCTGAAGCTTCAATATATTAGGAGATTATTAAGAACGGATACAATCTAAACAGCACCCAGTCATAATTCCAGTCTACTCACTATTATCTCGAAATAACTTGTAAATTTTGCAAAATAAGTGTTAAGAAAGAAACAACTAGTCCTTTACAATGTAACCAGGAATATAGGAATCCTCAAATTCATTCTCTCACATATATGTTCTGCAGAAATGTAATGTACAAAGCGGCCCTTCTAGATGCTAATAGCCAGCTAATGCAGATCAATTAAAAGAAAGGATAACAAATGATATCCACTGGAAAATAAACTACAATGAGTAATATTGAAACAGTCATGAAAATGCTTAACATAATAAGAAGGACTTTGTCAGAACTTGTTCGACAGATCATAAGCTTTCAATTCTTCTGTGTGGTTTTGAGAACTCAAACAGCAGCTATACTATAACTATCTCTGACATGGGCAAAGCAATTCAGCATCTCTACTTTTAATCTAAGGATTGAGCTATATTGGTTCATGGACATATACAAGAAATTATAGAGAGCCTCTTTGACTCATTTCTTGGTTTTTGCCCTTTTGGAACCTGGAGTTTTTTTCTTTGCTATCTTTGCTTGTGGTTTTCCTCCTGTACTTCTACCTCTTTTCTTTTCAGCACCCTGCATCCATGTTTTCTGTAATTATGTGTGCACCACCATTTTCATTTATTAAGGAGAAATCTAAAAACAAGAATGACTATCAGGATACTTACTGATGTTTTGTCAGCCTTCCCTTTGGATTTACCATTAGTTTGTTCTTCAACATGCTCACTTTGATCAGCTTGGTGGGTTGATTTCTGCATCTTGCCAGCCTCCTCATCCGAATCAAAAAAGAAACCATCCAGTGTCCCTTCTCACATGAAATGAACATATGTGAGGAAAGGAATTTATGCAGGATATAAAGGCAACACGATCATAAATAAAAGCACCAATTAGTTGTTGGTAAATGCAAATAACCTTCAACCATAGTTTCAGCTTCATACACATTAGACTGTGGCTTCAGCTGTATGAAATCATTCATGATGGCCTCAATCTGAGGAAGAAATTAAAGTTAAACACAATGTAAGCAAATATTTTTCAAAATCCTAGTTATGGCTGAATAAATTACTGATGACTGAAAATGTTAAAATAGAAATTAAGAAAGAAAAAAAAAACTCTAAGCCAAGTACGGACATCTTTAATCGCTTAAAAAGTGTTAATTAGTAGATAATAGATAACCAACAAACCTTTGCCTCTGACTGCCCAAAGCTAACCTGAAAAAATAACAAACTCATATGAAAGCAATATTTGAAATATACGATGAAATCTCGATCAAAAACGATACTTGCTATAAGACCACTATCCCAATTAAAACTTTGAAGGTGACGCTTTTAAATGCAGATCACACCACATACAACGCAAAACGTCCGGCAAGGAACTATAGATGTTTTGTATATTGTCCCTGAAAAGATGAGTATAAATTGAACAATCAGATACAGGTTGTCATTATCAAGTAAAAATACTGTGCCAATAATTTGGAAAAAGGAAATTATGCTTTTAGACAAATTATTAACAAATAAATCCTTCTTAATTGTTTTCCCCATAGTTTTTCTTAGTCGCCCTCTTCCTCTAGCAATTGGGGTACCCTTCGTCTCTTTAAGTCCTTACTGGGACTTCTGTAGGTCTTTTCAACACATGCCCAGACCATCTAAGAATTAAGATATTTATCTATTATATGTATATATACAAGGCATTATAATTATGCATCTGAGATTTCCATTTTTTAAAACATAGAGCAAGAACAAATATTCTTGGAAACTCAAAGGTAACAATCAGAATAGCACCTAAGCTGTATTATGGTTCTGCATATATGCATGCTACAGTGTTCTGATAAAGATATATATGCATATCTTTATAAATTATAAAGAACAATAGACTTAAAATTTGTTTGTTAATCATAAAACTTAAACTAACATACCTTTCAAGTCTAAATACATTTCCTGATCCCCAGATGGCGAATCTGAAATTATAATCCGTCCAACAGCACCCATATCACCACTCAGATCTATGGAATCACCTTGACACTCAATAAGTGCCTGCAAAACAGAAAAGCTCTCTGTCAACCTATTTCCTTTTTTCATGAATAGGGATTAAGGAAGGGGAAATTACTATAAATACCAAAGATAAAACACATGATTTTTACCAGAAAGCTACAATGTATCACACAACTTTCAACACAAAAGAAAACTAGAAACCAAACTAGCAACTATTCTCTTCAATATATATATATATATATATATATATATATATATTATTTTTTTTATTTTTTATTTTTTGAAAGCAAAACCTCTGTTACTGATTTGGTCATCTCGATAACAGCAATAAAATATGGCCCTTACAATTATAAAACAGAACATAAAGCAAAGGCAAATGCAAAATATACAACTGACACCTAACCTTTGTACGATGAACTTTATCAGAAAGCATCAAAGGAAACCTTACGGAGGAAACCTGCAAATTACATTCACGTTAAGTCATGGGAATGCTGTGGAACAATTTTAGCAATGATTATAACCTCGACCATTCTTACATTTGGTTCAGCAAGCTTTTCACAAGTTTCTTCCTCTTCAGCTTTCACATCACCACTACCTTTTCCCTTTGCGCTGGCCTTTATTTTCTTCTCTTTAATTGGTGTACCTTCTACATTTTTTTGTTTTTGTGAAGACTTCTCTTTTGAACCTTTTTTGGATGGAGACTTTCCATCATTACCAATAACAAGTCCATCCCCACCCTCTCCTTCACCTGATATTTGATGGTGAGAGGTTTCCACCTGATCAATGTGATCCTCTCTTTTTGGGCTTTGATCATGGAATGACTCAGAATCTGATGATAGTGTCCAAATTGAATGAATAGATTCCTATACAAAAACATTTGAAATTAGCAACAATCACAAAATAGCAGACCAAACAGGATAGAAGACAATAACGGAATTAAGAAAAACAATTAAACTGGGTAAGAATTACTGATGCAACGGAAGCCTCTATATAGAGGTACAAGGTCAGAGTCACTAGTAAATATACAGAAAATATGGTAAAGCACAGAAATGTGTTTCTTTCTTCTTCTAAATCCATGAACACACCCTGAAAATTAAGGAGATAACAAGGCTCTTACTTTATGCTTGCCGATGTTTGATTCGTTCCCTGTCTTCTTTTCCTCCCCATTTCCTGTACCATTGCAAAAAATGACAATTCAATGAAAAATCAGACTCTAAAATGATGTTTACATCCTAGCACTCCTGCTAATTTTTTTTCTAAATATCACATTACTCATCTCCTTGACCATAAAGTCATATTGAGAGAGAGCTCAGAAGCAGAAATCAAAACAAATCTCACTTGTACCGTCTTCGGCCTTTTGCTTGTCCAATTTCTTTCTTTTGGATGGTGTTTGGTCCTCTACTTTAGGACTGGTTGGTTCCGTGGTCTTTCTCTTGCTCCTTGTGACCTTGAGAAAACTGGATGAAATTGGAGACGACCCTTCATCATCAGTTTTATCCTCATTCAAAGACCCAGAATCAGAGGACAGTGTCAATGGCGAATGAGTCGGCACCTAGTCAACAACACAAAGTTTGGTTAAAAATGAAGGTTGCAATTGAACAAGGAAAATGAGGAATCGAAAAAGGGGAAGGTGGTAAGCGAATTGAATGGGCATAAAGTGATACCTGAAAAGAACGCAACCAATCAGGGGAGCTCTCCCTTGAACTGCTCATTTTGAAGGACGAATGCTGAAAGAAAAACGGTTTGTAAGTATCCGTTTTCAGTGAAGCAAATGGTCGAACACGTTGTGGGCACAATCTTAATCACGTGGTGAACCAAATCTCATGTTGTCGTGGCCATAGTTCAAATATGTATGAAATGTGGACTGGAATGCTATGCTAATTAATTGTAGATTTTCGTTTTTTCTTTAGCTCCTAATAACAAAAAAAATGCTAATTAATTGTAATCGCTAAATACCTTTACTCTGCTGCTACCTACGGAGAGCGGGAACTTTCTTTCTGGCGTAACCTGAATCCTGATTTGTTATGCTTCTCCCACTTTAAAACGACTCGTCGTTTCACCACAATAAATAAAGCCAAAAAGAAAAAATATTTTTTTCCTATACTTTTGAGTTAATCATTCATGTACTGTATGTGTAAAGTGTTTTACATTGGCAACCAATCATATCTTTTAAATTATTTATTTTATTTTTAATTTATTAAATAAGTAAGTGACATGACACTATTAAAAAATATGATTGGTTGTCCGTATAAAAAAACTTTACACTAGTAATGTATAGATGATTAACTCATACTTTTTTGTGTGTAATTTTTTTATTCCTGTACTTAAGATTAAGGTACCTTTACTAAGATTTAATTACTTATACATTGTTAGTGTAAATTTTTTTTACACTGACAACTAATTATATCTTTTAATTGTGTCATGTCACTATTAAAAATAAATGTATTTATAGTGATAGGACACAATTAAAATATATAATTGATTACCAATATAAAAAAAATTTATACTAACAATATATATATAATTAACTCCTTTACTAATTACTATTATACTAAAACTAGAATGAAAGAAGTAATTCGTGTTTTTCTAGTTTTAAAAATAACAGAGGAAGTGATTAATCATTGAGTAAAAAGCTTTTTTTTATTATTAATCGAGTGAGAGGATATGGAGAAAGAAAAGAAGAAAAAATTAAAAACAAAAATAAAAGGAGAGAATGAGTGATTTAGAAGTAACTATATTACAACAATAAATTAGTATTAAAAAATGTGTACCGCAAAAATAAATATCTTTATTAGGAGGGTTTAATAATTTTAAAAATAAGTTTACTTATATTTAATTTATTTAATAATTAAAATTTTATATTAAATTTTAATAATTCAACTGTTGAATTAAAATTTTTTATGCATAGACAAGTTTGTAAAATTTTGAAAATTTAAAATTATTTAATATTATATTTCATTAATTCAAATTGATGGATAATCATAAAAGTATTTTATTCATCAATTTAAATTAATAAAATAGAGTATCAAATATTTATTAAAAAAATTAAAAGTTTTGCAGACTTGACTTATATATTAAAAAATTTTAATTCAACAAATGGATCGTGAAAATTAATGTAAAATACGAGTTATTAAATAGAGTAGATTTATATAAACTTACTTTCGAAGTAAGTGAATCCTTCCTCTTGTTTTATTATATGCATAAATATATTTTCAACCAAAGATCCTTTATTATTTTGGTATATTTGCACTATATAATTCTCTCACATTTAGTTAGAGCATCTCTAATAGGGATTGCTTATAAGCAACCCTCTGTGCCACATCATTGCCACATCAGCTCTGACCCACTTTATGGGTTGCTTAAATTTTAGCAACTCTGTTAAAATTTAAGCAACCCATAAAGTGGGTCAGAGCTGATGTGGCACATGGGGTTGCTTATAAGCAACCCCCATTGCAGATGCTCTTAGGTAATAATAAAGTAATAACTTTAATTACGACATGAACCTTAACTTTGATTAAATAACTAAAGTGTTAAATCAAGAGTATTTTTATATCAAGTCTTTTTCTATCATGTCTTGGTTTTAAATAAAATATGTATTGTTAATATTAGAGTAAATTATACCAACCTCTTTCGGACGATGAAAAGACTGCATTAATCTTCATCTCTCTTCTCATGTTAAAATGTATAATAAAAAAATCCATATAATACAAAGACAATAATAAAATTCATTTAACTTAATATCAATAAAGTATAATATATATATATATATATATATATATATAT